AATAATTATGAAATAATAATAATCTGCTATACTTATATCCTATACTAGTTCTAGACATTACACACTAGTACAATTAAGTATGAAGACAATCTGTCTTTTTTTTATAGGTCATACCAAATGCCGCTATTTTATTACATGAGTGCGATATCTGTATATGTTATAATATCTTTAGATATAAAAGAATACATATATTGTCAATACATGTTTACGTTCAGATCTATAATGGTATTAGACATAGCAAAAGTGGACATAGCAATAGATTACATGTATGCAATGTATACATGTAATACACGTATTTCCAATATATTTATGTTCTGAGTTGAATGATAATATAAGCATTTAAAATATCGATAATTATTGTATTTTTAATAAGGGCGCTTTCCCGGTGGAGTTTGACCGTTACTCTAGCATCCCCTTAATAAACAATTTTCAAAATAAAGTTCTAGAAAATGCACATAACATTACATACCTTTGCATTAAAAATAATAGCTGTTTTTTTTCAACAATTTTAATTAATAAATTTTAAAATCGTATGTTAAATAACAATTTCGAAATGATAAATATACAAATTTAGACTCACTTCGCTATAAATAATAATTAAATGCTTTGCAGTTAAATGCACGCTTTCAATAAGATAATTTTTAGTTAAATTGAAAATTTAGATACTTTAAAAATTGCTTATATTCCACCATTAATCTTATTCTTTTTTTTAATCAGCATATATATTATACAATATTATAAATTATAATGTTATTTGCCAATGCGCTCATATTTACATCACATTTTACTTTTTACTTATATTTAATTTTATATTATGACGACAAGAGTCCCTCAGTCTCGCCTGCCGAGAAGAAGCACGCCGTCAAATTCACAATATATAGAAATCGGTAAAAGGTATGAATAGTAGATCGACCTGGTATGTTCTCCAAATCTCGGTATGGGCGCCAGGCGCGAATACTCGCACCACGGTACACTAAATCCAAGCCAACTCTAGAAATATCTCAGGCGTGAATTTCTTATTACTTCAGATCGCTGTTAGATCGTGGAGAAGAGGAGAGGGAGCGCAGCGCAATTAACACACACAAAAATAATGTAAACAAAAGATATAATATATTTAATCAGGATAAGGTATATAACAAGTCATCGTTTTGCAGATAATAATCATATCGTAACGACCCCCGTAACAATCACTTAATAACGCGAGTGATATCCTTGCCCTTACGCAAAGATACCTCGCTCACAATACCAATGACTATGCGAATATCTCACGAATTCGCGACGATATCTCGCAAATAGTCCCACTATAACTACGCGAATGATATCTCGCAATTACGTGGCGATACCTCGCGAAGTCCGCAATACCAAAACGCGAAAGGTGCCTCGCATTGTTACGCGATCGACACCTCGCCAAATACACAAGACGCGATTACGCGAAACGTATCTCACAATTCCGCAACAATCCTATGTCCGAATAATACATCACGGATTCTATGCCGTCTCGCGGGACGGTCATACACAACTCCGAATTCCAGAAGGATAACTTTCCGATGATTCTACAATTATGCGCTCCCGCATTACGGGACGGTATGTACAACGTGGCTCTAATTATGCGGTGACTATTGGCCGCGTGCGGTTCCCCGAGAAGGGCGATCATGTTTTACTCTCTCGGCCGGGCCCTCCGTCAGTATTTCTTTCGGTAATTAATTCGGTTATTAACGGTTCCCATGCTTGACGCGGCACTGCGCGACTCCCGGAAAGGCCTCGGCCTCGAGAAGGATTTTACTTGCTTACAACGATGCTCGAGCAGTGTCCCTCGGTCTCGCCTGCCGAGAAGGAGCACGCCGTCAAATTCACAATATATAGGAATCGGTAAAAGGTATGAATGGTAGCTCGACCAGATATGTTCTCCAAATCTCGGTATGGGCGCCAGGCGCGAATACTCGCACCACGGTACACTAAATCCAAGCCAACTCTAGAAATATTTCAGGCGTGAATTCCTTTATTACTTCAGATCGCTGTTAGATCTCGGAGGAGGAGAGAGAGCGCAGCGCAATTAGCACACACAAAAATAATGTGAACAAAAGAGATAATATATTTAATCAGGATAAGGTATATAACAAGTCGTTTCGCGGATAATAATAATATCGTAACGACCCCCGTAACAATCACTTTATAATAACGCGAGTGATATCTCGCCCTTACGCGAAGATACCTCGCTCACAATACCATTGACTATGCGAATAGGAAGAGCCTCGGCCTCGAGAAGGATTTTGTTTACAACGGTGCTCGAGCAGTGGCCTTACAAAAGATCCTCGGATCCTCGGCAGTCGGTGTTCCTCGGGATGACGTCTCAGGACGAAAGCTCGCACGACAGTGTCGTTCCTCTGACCCGGCGCGGCGGGACCACGCTGAGCTCACGCGCCTGCGGCCTGCGCGCCGTGCTTGCAAGCAATGCAAGCTCTCCTTGCCGATCAGCTCTACGCGAGCGCTGCGTCCGATCCGAGCGCCTTCCGTTCCTGTCGGCGCCCCTCGCGTCTGCTCCGCCTGCTGGCGGTATCTTTAAAAACTGCTGTAAGTCCGGCTGTCCAGCCCGCGACTTGACCGAAATTGACTGCCCGGCTGGACGAGCCGTGGCCACGTCGATCGGTATATCAAATCGACCCTTGAAGGCGGTAGGTCGTTCCGCACCCTTAACGTGGACCTCGTCGGGGCGTCCCCCTGCTCGAATCCTCCGTTAACGGACTTTATCTCGACATCATCGGGCTGAGCGCTCGCAATGCGAGATGCTCCAGAGCGGTATCGGCAATGGACCCAAGCGTGACCCGCCCGTCGGCCACTCCTCTGCAGAACGCCTCCGGGTTTTCCTTCTGCAAATCCCGCGGTGCGACCTAAGTCGTTACAACAAATCCTACTGGCCATCTGCTCGGCACCACCCCACACAACCTGTAAGTCTCGCAAAATAATTAAAATTTAATGTTAAAGACGCAGTCGCCTCGCCCCTCTCGGATATGGAGGCGCTTCCCTGACGCTTCCCTCGGCCGAGCTACTATCCGGACAGGGGACGTGACCTTGTCACGTAACAATATATACATTATATATTCTTAATATTAATTATTATATTTATTTTTACGACAAAAAATCAGAAAAAAAATTTAAAAAAAATTTTTTTTTTCGTCACAATACAATTGCGTATTGTGAAAATCATAGCTGCAGCAAGAGCGGAGTGTTTTTCTTATATTTTTGTTATTTAAAATAAATATTACATATTTTTTTACGGACGTATACCCGGTGCGCCATACGCTTCACAATATTGAGTATAATTCTCGATGAAAATTCAAAAAAATCAGTTTTCAGCGGAAAGAAATTAAAGTTAAACTTTCGCAATTTTCTTGCAAAAAAGTAAAAAACTGCACTCGTCTATTTTTCTTTCTCTCTTCTCCGTTGTTTCTTAGTGGAATATTTTGTGACGATAGGACACACATACACATACACATATACAGGACACACGTACCTCGATGTCTGTTCCTCGCAATCAAATGAGACTACGGCGTTATCCTATATTCCATTTGTGCTACGTATGTATGTGTGATATGACGTCAACGGCGAGAGTCGGGGTTTGTTACGTCAAACTTTTGCACGTGTTGCGTAACACATACTTCGTAATTTCAAAAGTTTACTTATTTTCCATATACGGCAACGTAATAAATTATTTTCTCTCAATATAGCATAGAAATGTTAAATACGCATCCCAGTTCGTTTATATCGCCTGAATAAATAAAACTCAAGATAAAATGAGTTTGTATGAGATTCAATCACAATTATCAGTTTATTTTATTTCCCTCTTTTTTGTTTCTTAAAAACATGTTTTTGGGAAAGATATGGTTTATATCTTGTTACAATGCATACAATAGAATTTTAATAAATAAAAAAATAATTTTAATTAACATGGATTTTGTAATACCAAGATTTTTATAAAAATTGCAGTTGAGGTAGAAAAGAGTAGATTGCAATGTTTGAACTTTTACCAATTGCAAAATAGATTAATTATGTCTATAAATACTTAAATCATTTATTTTAATATAATACGGAAAACAAAAGTTAATTTTTTTTAAAATAGAAGCTCAAGTCTCCGTTTATTAAAAAATCTTTTAATTCCATTCTTTTCGACAATTATAAAACCTTTTCGTCGTTGGTTGATATTAATGGACTCAGCGACGGTAGCAAATAAACGAAACGGGTTTATTTGCTCGTCGCTGATGATAAATACTGCATTCTTATTCGAAATATTCGTTATTTTCAAGTGGACAAGCTCGAAAGACGAGAGCGCGATTTTTGCGAGGCAATTTGAAACGAAAGAGCGCAGAATAAGGTAAAAGTGCACTTTCGTGGATACAAGTGCAACGAGTAGCGGAGTCGAGATGTATGCACATTGACCCACTCCAGGCGAACTCCTATACATAAAAGAAGCTGCGTACCAATTTAATCTTTACAATCGGAAGGTAATATATTTAACTCTATAAATATTAATATATTTTACCCGTGAGAATAAAATCGCGAAAAAAATTACAATACGTTTGCGATTATATGCAACAATAATTACATATGTTTCTATCGGAAGTCATAACCTAAAATTTACTTCGGAAAATTAAAATCCAAGAAAAATTTCTCGAAAAATTTAATTAGCAAATATTAAGTTGACTTAAAAGATAAAAATTTTATTTATTAGTAAATAACGTGAACAAATAATAAATGTTTACTTTTTATTCAGCTTTAAACTTATTTCAATACGGCTTCCTTTTGCAGTCCAATTACCAAGATATTTATCGTGAAGAATTCAGTAAATATGATCGACCAAAGTACTGTGTTGTATATCTTAATCCAAATTTAAATTTCCGCTCGGGAAAACTCGATTATAAAGTTATCGAAAAAGTCTGTAGCTAACAGGAAGCACGCGATTATATTGATACGCCCTGCGTTATAGAAAAGCTGAACGAGCTTACCTGTTCGTGCATCGGAAAGATCCCGCCGAGGATGATGTCGCCGTCGATGCGTATCAACTTCGAGCCATCTTCACCTCTTTTTTTTGCGTTGTAATTGTAACATTCGCTTGTAATTAGGAAGCACCACATCCACGGCAGGATCCTGCGTAAGTTCATCTTGGCAACGGAAGTTGAATTACTCGAGTAGCTCGCGGTTGACATCTCGCTAAAACACAAAATAACATTTACGTTATTTTTCGCAAACTTTTCTTAAACACAAGTATTGGTACACAAGTATTCTCTTACTGTTTCGTGTATAACACAAATAAAATGCAAATATACTATAAAACCGGTTACGATAAAATAACGTGAAAATGTTGCAGATGTCAAGAACGAAGAATATTTCTAAAATTGTATATTCCCTTTCTTCGAGAAAAAGACAATTTTGAAAATATTCTATTTCAATATATATTTTATTTCAATTGATTAGAGTAAATCGATTATACGTCGTGGATACATCTGTCTGTATTGTCTGAGTTTCCTTCATCTCTTTCAGAATGTTATTATTATTGCGTGAGATTTGTACGAGCTACTTCAAAACGACTAGTAACGAGGCATTGAGATGAAAATCTCGATCTCTACAATGTCATATATAATTCTCTGCTTGTGCGCTGGAAACGTGAATATATAGTGGAAACGGATAGATCGTAGATACGTGTGCAAAATATTTACAAAAATATGAATACATCGTACGTTCCATTCCTGTTCATTTTGAACTCTTCCCACTCAGGTCACGATTTCTAAACTTATAAAACAGTTTCTTTTCGACAATAAATCTTTGTCTGCCGCATATTAAAACTTTCACGTTCAAAAATAGAAGAATCTTTTAATCCGTCGTACAAAAATTTTTTTCTTTTTTAAATGATCGAAACATGAACTGTTGCTTTGGAAAGTAATTTAGGTTTTCAGCTCTTTCGATAAAATTCATCGACACTTATTGTTAGTCGCATCGTACGTTTCAAGCATTTAAACGATCTTTCCTTTCTTAATCTAATTCGGTTTAGGGTGTCGTACGAGGATCAAGGAAATTCACCCTCCGCTTTTCCTTTAATTACTTTATTGCCTATTCGTGTAGTACGACCTTACATCTTTATCGTCCAATTTTCTCCCCGCAATCGTCGCGATTTCGAAAGCTTGATTTTTATCGTTAACACGGAAAGTTCTTCAAACAATTATCTTTATTTTATTTGTCAGAATCGATTTTGCTTATTGTACGAGCAACGTTGTCTATCAACGGAAAAAAACCGTTCGTTGATACGTCATTTCTTTTTAATTTATACTTTTACCTCCTCGCTTTTGCATATATATTTTGAGCTTTTGTAAACACGTCATTTTCTTACGTAGCCCAGTCAAATTAGATTATTTTTGGGCGTTTGAATGAAAAAATTGCCGGCAAGCTGGAAATTGGTATACAGGTTCATTTTAGTGTTCTTTTAAACATACTAAAAGTCCCCATACATAGAGCGTGAGCCGGCTGCGCCATCTTGAAAAAAAGAGTACAAAAATGGGTTTTTTGCAAATAACTCAGAAATTATTAGTTTTACGGGAAAGAACATTCAGAGCGAAAATGTAGCTGATAAAATTCCTCGCAATTTGGTTTTTTGTAGAACTTCGTACGACCATTAGTTCCCAAGATAGAATTTTTTGAAGCATTGGGCAAATGAGAAAAGAGCTGTTTTTTCGAGTGTTTTTTCAAAATATCTCAGTTCTGGCTGTCCGAAAGTAAAAAATGCATACAATAAAAGTGAAAGATAATTAAATTACCTACAAAATGCATTATTTATGTTATACCGCGCGACTAATATTTCTAGAAATATTACGGTTTAAATGAAATTTTAACTTTTGGAAATTGTGAGAATAAATATTTCCTCGCAATATAAGTCGGAAATGGGTAGTCCTACGTAAAAAATTGTTAAAATCAAGTAGAAAGGTTATTAAATTTTCATTATTTTGGTTTTTGACCGATTTGCATACGACTAATAGTATTTTTGATATCCGTAAAAGAAACGGTTTTTAGGTACACTTCTCAAAATGGCGGACTTTTGAGTTATCTTTTTTAAAAAATACACATGTTTCTTGAAGTTTATTAAATTATCTTCAAAATGATTTTTTATTTGACTTTCTGTGATGAATACTTCCAGAGATATAGCCTTTTAAATATTTGTTTATGTTAAAAATTTCTTAATAATTTACAGTTTTTTTTACAAAACATGACATAAAATTACTTTAGAAAAAATAATATCGACATTTTTTCAAAAGTTTATATGCATATGTATGTGATCCTGCAGTGGAACCGGTTTTGAAATGAAAGTTTTTAAAAAATTGTCATTTCAATTATGCCTTTCATAAGAGTTTTCGTAAAAAAATTGGGTTTGCCACACTTTCTGGTAATTTTCTCAGTTTCTATGAGAGATATGTACAAAATGTTTCAGACCAAATTTGAAGCTTATAAAATTTCCTGAAAAACAGTATATTCGGCATTAATGTGTGACCAACAATTATACCAACAACAGATGCTAGAATAATGTTACTCTTTTTTTCTCAGTTTACCGTAATTTTTAATGATTTA